AACCATGTTACAAACTCTTACAAACTCTTTAATACCTTTATATCCCAGTTTCCCAGATAAGCCCAGTCAGGCAAGAGGATAACTCGCTTGGGCTATGGATTATAATGAATAGGGAGAAAAGTTAACTTTTTTTCTTGAAGTTATGATTAACTTTTTTTTTGTTGTTGTTGTAAGCTTATTGAGTGATATTAATTGAGTTTTTCATTTATTGTAGATGGGATTTTATGACTTGTTGGATTCTGAATAGAGGGAGGAGATGCATCTGATAAGGTAAGAGAGATGGTAAGATGAAAATGTTCTTGCATAAAACACTGTCTTGTTTTGTTTCTTCTGACTGAAGGCACCTATTTCTTTGCTTTTCTGATGGAACCCTGCAGAGAATTGAGATACTCATTTGTATGTTACATCTGTTGCTGATCCTCAGAACGGAGAGTCAAGTATCAGCTCTGCTCTGCACAGCTCCTGTCCCAATCCTGTCTGCTGGTGAATTACAATGTACAAAGGCTAGGAGACAAAACATCTTGCAGATCTTTTGAGCCGCTGTGTTAACCAGATAGGGAGAGTTATCCTAGCATCACAAGGCTTTCTTAAAGTAACAGATGAGTTAAGATTTTTGGGAGATTGGGGAGATTTTTTTCCTGCTGAGGCATTTAAAAAGGTAAAAGGTCTTTAAGATCCTTTAGTTTCTGTGCTTTCAAACCCGTTTTTCTTGTTTCAATTTTCTCAAGTTTGAATTTGAAACCCGTATTTAGTGTCATAAATGTGCTGAAGGAGGTCTGATGTTTGTTGATTTTTGATAGCAGTGTATTTAAAAGGCAATGTCCTGATAACTGCTTCATTTCTTTTTCATTGTCTGGTTCGGGCACTTCCATGGACTGAAAGTAGAGTAGCCTTATAGAAAAGCAAACACTTAAACACAATGTTGTATGATGTAGGTATTTAGAAGACTCTCACTGTAGAGCCGGTCTGTGGCTCTTCAGTTCTGCCCTTTATTTATTTCATTTTGTGTCTTGTCCACTTCAACACTGGCATGTACAGGCCTCAGAACTTCCTGTTGTTTTCTTGGATGGCGGGCTGGTATACACAGTAAGAATATACATTATGTCATTGTATGCAAATGCATTAGGTCATTGTATGAGGATCAGGAGCGACAGCCACTTTTCCTTGGATCCAGTCTTGCAGGCAGCTTGGAGATTGTTTTTCATTTCAGTTTAGTTTGCTTAATGGGGTTACCATTTGGTGGGTGGCTATCCAAGCAAGAACCGAAAACTTCAATGGCACTCAGCGCTGTGTGGGTTTTACAAGAGCTAAACACCTGCCTGCTGCTTAATTTTTCATAAGTGACGGGCATTTTCCCCTTTGTCCATTCAAGCTCCCCTCTCTCACTTCAGTTGAATTCTGTTATGAATATTTTATTTAACAGTTTACTCCCTCCCCAAACATGGCCTTGTATGTATACAGCTTTTAAAATACAGCTCTTCAGGTGAGAGGTCTTGTAATCTAAAGTGCTGTTATATAAGGCATCTCGCATGCATACCTCGCTCATTATGTAAACGGCCTCGTTCACTCGCACGTGTTCCAACCAGTCCCCATATGTTCCAGGCGCTCTCGATGGGAATTACTGTCGGAGCCCTCCATGCGGCCAGCCCCTGCCCGGGCTGCGGCTGAGGCCCCCCAGCGCCGTGCGCTGCCCTCGGCGCTGCCTCGAGGCTGTGGGGCAGCCGCGGCGCCGCCGGCTGCGCCTCCTGCCTGATGTCCTGTTGCTTAAAAGCAGCCCGCGGCACGGGCTGAGCTGGAGTCGCTTGTGCTCGGGCTGCTTTGGTATCGTGCGCTCTGTCAGTTGAAAAGAATGTGTTAATGGGATATAAATGCAACTTGTTGGCGTGCATGGGGCACCTTGGTGTGTGTTGAGCTGCTGATATTTTTCCGAAGATGTTAGTCCTCATAATTATTTGATTTGCTTGACTAAGTGGTTTTGTTTCGTTCAGGTATTGTTCTGCTCTGCTATGAAGAGCTTATCCATAAACCTGTGTGCTTGAACGCAGTTCCTATGTTCCTATGTCCTAGTTCCTATGTTACAGCCGGTGATAGGGTGAGCTCATTCTCTCCTTACCTCATAAAACAACCACCTAGGGAGCTCTGTGTCTGCCGCTGAAGAACTCTGCACCTCTCTAGCTGTGGCTTTTTTTTTTTTGCCAGCCCAAGGCACATACAGATCATGAGTCAAATCCCTAGAAATCACAGGACTAGATATAAAAGGAGATTTGAAGATAAAGAGGTAGTGTTCCTTTTTTTTTTTTTTTTTTTTTTTTTTTTCTTCTCCACTGACTCTTGTCTTTCACCTTTAGAAGAAAAGATTCTGGCCTTGTTTTGTATGAGATCATTTCAGGGTTGAAGTTAATCCTGAGCTACGAATATGTATTTCATACATTCTGTTTCCTCAGCTTTCAAAGGGGACTCTGATTTCTCTGTCTGCAGGGTCATGGAGGGAAGAAGTGCCCCCATCTTGCTCCCTCTCCTCTTGTATGGCAGGAGAAGCTGCTGTCCCTTTATGCTCTTCTCAAGGCCCCAAACCGTTGAGTGTTCCACGTATTCTCCTGATTGCCTACAGCTGGGGTTATGTCTTGACGAATTCCCATAGCTTCTTTTTGTGGAATCGAACTTCTGAAACATCTGCATGTTTCTTAATGCCACTGCGATACAAGGCATTCTAGCTTTTAGCCTCATTTAAAGCAATGGAAGATGATCCTGTCTTTACAGGGAATAATCTTGCTTTAATCCAGCAAAGATTAGTCATGGTGACCATCTTGTAGTGGCCAACTTTTGACTAAAATCCTGTCGTTTATGTTACAGGCTTGAACTTAGAAAGAAGGGGGGGGGAAAAGAAAGAAGCTGTTTTAGTATACCCAAAGCTTAATGATGAAATTGTGAGACTTTGTGAGGCAAGGCTGTATGGATCTTGATTGGTGCCAGATCTCTCATGCAGTACGTATTTTTCCTTCTCCTATGCCTTTCCTCCACCTGTGCCTTTATCCTATTTTCCCTTAGGAGTGCAGGGCCCTTATGAACTACAAGTCAAGTTTCACATAGGACATGTCTGATAAGTTGGATCATAAATACAAAACCACTCTGTAAGATCTGATAATTTTTCAGTAGTGCACTTATGTGATGAAAATTACTTTGATCACTGAAATGTCATTATGTCATTTTGGAAGGAAATGACAAGAAGGTAACTGTTTTCTGGCCTATTCTGTACCTTTTGTTTCCTTAGACCTGATGAATTGCAGCTCCAAGGTCACTTGTCTTAATAGGTCCAATTAGATTGCCAATTAATATTAATTATCTGAAAAGCAGTACATTGATGTATATTCTATTATTAATGACTGGGGCATACTATGTTAATGCATTTTATAATAGCAGTCTGTTTTGCAAACACTTTCTGGTTGTTCTTTTTTAATGAGTCTTGGCAGTGAAAATACCACTTTAATACGTTCTGAGCTACAGTAACTCATGGAAGGATTTTTCTTTTTTTTCTTTTCTTTTTTTTTAAACTGAGAATAACACTCCTGATTTCAATGAGACCGACTTGAGGGTTAGTCAAAGAATGACTTCTGTCTAAACCGGTGCGTTGTGGTTTCTTGTTCCTACAAGGGCATAATTCTTCTGTCACCAGTGTATTAGTTTTAATAATTTCCTTTAACGCTGCGTATGTATACATATGTGTATATTCTTGTTTCCACAGATGCCCTCTTGGCAAGACTTTCAAAATAAGAATACTTATTTCAGTTAAAAAATTAGCAGGTGATTTGAGGGGTTTTGTTTTTTGGTAGTTTGTCAAAATATGGGGAAAGTAAAGTACCTGGAAAGCATTAGGAAAGAAACAGGGAGTCATGGGAATCATTCATGGATAGGGAGAAACCTCTAGATAGCAAAGCTTGCAGGAGGTATAGATGGTTGAAGGGAAGGTCTGCATAAGTGTAGATATTAAAGTGAATACTCTCTTTTCTTATTTTTTGTCCTTTCCTCCGGAAAATGTGAATATTTGCACATTCTGATATTCCAAGTCATAAATGCCTAACATTTCTGAAAGAACAAATTACCTCAGTGCCTAAATGTGTAGATAACTGTCAGCCTCAGAGGATCAAGTGAGTTAGAAGGAATGTTTGAAGAACTCCAAGTAGGTTAACATTAGGCAGAACATAGAAAGTAGGGGAATAGATTGAACTAACATAACAAAGACCTAGATATGAGTTTATAATTAAGACTAATCAAGATATGAAAAGAGAACTTCCTTGGTTCTGCTTTTAATGTAAAAATGGAATACTCACTTCCCCCTTCCAATCTTTGTTGCCCTAGGGTTTCCCAAGCCTGATGTTACAAATATTGTGCTTTTTTTTCCTATAAAAATAAGGATGTAAAATTAACCTGGGCAATATTTGTCTAACTATTTTTACAGAAGGTCCGGCTTTCTCGATGGGTTGCCCAGTATGGCCACACTGTGAACTGCTTGGCTGTGCAAGATACAAGTAGCTTTGTTTGCGCTCTTGGCCAAGCACTTAGAGAAACTGAAATCAGCACTGTACAACACACAGTTAGCATGTGGGGCTGGAACGGAGAGAGCCCTTTCCAGCTCTTGATTACAAAGTGAACTGATGTGAAGTTCCTCTCTGAGTGCCTACAGCACAAACAAGGCAGGATGTAGTTTAGCACCGCCGGATGCAGGATCGCGTCGCCCAACTCCCACCCCGCCCCAGCACCAGCTCTGCTGCTCCTCTGGCCTCCGCTTGAGCCTGTGACCCCCCACACCACTCGTAGCTTGTCCTTTTCCTTGGAGATGGATGTCTGGCCTGGGCTCCCTGGCCTGGCAGACACAGGGGAAGCCCATGGTGGAGCCCTTTGGTGCATCTGCCAGGACAGTTCGGGTCTCATCCCACCCATGTCCCCAGGCCTGACCAGCCATTGGCATCTGCTGCTCCAGCAGCACCTGCGGTGACTCTCCAACTCAGGTGTTCAAAGTAGGAGTTTAAAGAAACTGAAATTTGCATGGTGGGGGCTATAAATGCATTTATCTTTTCCATCTGATGTTGCTGTGACTGGAGGTGTCAAAGAAGCTGTGGGTGGTTTTGCAGAGCTGGGAGGAATCGGGGTGGTCTCGGGCAGCGAGGCCAGCCGTGAGAAGCAGGTGACCCTCCTACCTGGCACACGTGTGGTGGAGATCAGCTCTGCGGCTGTGGAGAGGCAGAGAGTTTCAGTGGCCTGAAAATGAAGTT